AGCCTTTTTTGTTCCGTTCAGTTGCTCAATAGAAAGGGGAGGAGTGGTGGTGTTGAAATCCACAACCCTGTTTTCACCTACCTTTGGCAGCAGTTCTGATCTACCTGGATTTTACAAGCTCACACACTAGGGCTTGCATGTTCTCACAAAGCTTGCCTCTCCCATGCATCCAGCTGCCTAAAACTGTTCTGTCAGGGCATAAAACAGCTCTGGAGTCAGCTCTGGTCTTGTTCTCTCAGCATGGATAGATTCAGCTGTGATGGATCAGGAGAATCCCAGCCTTTCTTCCCCATCCTCTACCCTGACGTTGCTGTCTCCACCAGGCCCCAGTGGTGGGCCCTAGAAGCTGCTGCACCTGGGTTTCTGCTGAGCTGCACCAAGCTTGAGTGTCTGCAAGGCATCCGGTTTTTTGACTTTCCCTGTCCTGCAACAGACCCTCCCTTCTCTGAGGAACTGGCTAAAACCAAAAGACACTTGGAGGAGAGGCTGGTTTATCTTCTGGGCACTTAGCACTACTCCAGTTAAGTCATCATCTGTCATTTCCAAAAGGTCATTGGGATTTATAAGATTTCTGTTTAGACTTATAATTGGTCTCCTGTGTCTAAGAACACTTACGGACTTTTAAGTCCTTAAAGACCTTTCATTTTCCATCAGTGCCTCGGTTGTGCAGATCTGGAAGCTGGTGGTTAAGGAGCAAACACTGTTCTTGTAGCAGGAACTTTCTGATCCTTTCAGGCTCTGCCAACTCCTCCTCCTGTAGCCTGCAGCCATGAGACACAACCATTTCTCACCAGCCTCTGCTCCTAGTTCTGTTCCCAACTGACAGTTTGCTGTGGGAGGGTGTTCTGTGTGCAGACAGTGATTTGATTTCCAGAAGACTTCTCTGTTGTTCATTTCTGTATCTTTATGGGTTTGTTTTTTTTTTTTTACAGCCAGGGAAGCTTTCGAAGAGGCAGGAAACATCTTAAGTGGCCACGTAGCCATGGGGATGTATTTGGAAGATGAAGCTTTGGCTTTGTAAGTTGTTTCTTTTATTCCTGGGTGAGAGTTCAAACTGATTTGCATTTAGTGAAAGCCAAGGCCTAGAGCAATTGTCAGAGGCCAAGTTGAGTGTTCAGCAGCAGCTCTAAGCAGTGACTTAAGTCTGGCAGGGAGACTGGTCAGGACTCAGCCAAATGAAGATGTTGTACCCTTGGCTCTGCAACTCATTTAACCCTGTTGCAATGGGTGTTCATCTCCCTTCCTGTTGTTTGAGTTCACTCTGGGTATTTTTAGTCCTCCAGCTCTGGGTATTTGCAGTCCTCCAGCTGTGCCAGCCCCTCATGCATCTGTTGGGTTCCTCCAAGAAACAGGGCTAAACTTTCATGGAGGCAAAAACAGGCTGGAAAAATTATACCCTCTGGCTGCAATTGGTGTGTGAAGAAGAAAAACCAGTTCTGCCCTTCTCCTTCCATCAGGAAAAAAGTGAAGAATTGCTCCTGGTCTTCCTCTTTCTGCAGTCCCTTCACCTTCTTGTCTCCTGCACCTAATCCTGATGCTGCAGAAGTGCCTGCTGAGGTGGGGATGAGCAAGGAGAGTGTAAGAGGATGGGTGCAAAGCCAGGGGTGTAAATGTGAGCCTTGCTCTGGTGGTTGCCCTCAGTTGCTGAGAGCAGCCAAAAGGGAGGCTGCTTGTGACTACCTGCAGGCTTTCTTGGGGTGGGCATGGTGCCCAGGTGGTGAAAAATGGTTTGAAAGCCCTGAAATAAATGCTAGGCTTCTATGGAGCTGCTTTGGTGTGGAGCAGATGGGCTTTCAGCAGCACTGTGAAAAGTGTTGAACCCCTTTGGTCTCAGCTTCCAGGTGGGCACAAGCAAGACTTTACCACCCTTTGCAGACAGAGCTTTGGAGAGGTTTCTGGAGGAAGAGTGCTGGAATAATAATGCAGCCTTTCTCCTGCAAGTGTGATCAAGGTGAAGTCAAGGCTTTCTTGCTCGGCTCCTGATTAAGAGCATCAATTGCAGCCCTGACTTGAAGCCAAATTTGAGTTAATGGGATCTGAGCATGTGTCAGTCCCTGCACTTAACTGTGTCATTAAAACTCACTCCAGCAAGGGGCAAAGTGCTTTGAATTGAACTCTGAGAGATGCTTCAATGTCTATAAATGCAACTGGATCCAGGGGAAATCTTCAGCTTGTCCTGGCATCTCATTTCCAACAGGAATTAGCCATCAAGGCAGAGTTAACAATCCCAGAAGGTCCTTGGCCTGTTTTCTAGGTGTGGTTTTAACAGCTAGTAATGAAACAGTGAATTTTTTTAATTAGCTTCTTCCAGATATGCTGCATTTCTAGCATGTCTGATGAGATGTGGACACTTCAGTGGTGTGCATGGACAATAAAGATGTAAATATCTTGATACTATTAACCAAACTGTGCTCAAAGCACCAGGCATGGTTGGGTCTTCAAAGCAAAGCAAGGCCAGACTTGTTCAGTGGGGGATGGGAGACAATGGGGTGGGCAATGGCAGGTTCAGAAGTCACAACCAGCAGCATCAGAGTGAAAAACCTGACCCTCCTGACCTAAAAGCCTCTTCTCCTCAGCTGAGAGAAGGGAAAAAAGCAAAAGGGTAATTTTTTGAAACTTAGATCTTTGCTAACTTAGATCTTACATCTTAGATAAAGCCTGTGTTCTCTCAGCAGTGACACACAGGAGGATACAGCCCTGTCCTCCTGCTCCAGCCACAGTCTGCATGCTCCTGTGCAGCTGGGATAGTCAATACAGTTAATAATAGATATTCATTCTGCCAAGTTTGGATTTTGGCTGTGATTTATGGGAGAAGCTACTGTAGCTGGTCCTCTTCTCAACTGTAAGTCAAAAGTAAACACTTACAGGAATTCCTTATGCAAGAGCCAGGCTCACTTCCCTTCTGCTAAACACTCAAGGAGGAACTGTTGGTGGCTCCCAGGTCACAGAAAGCTGAGTCCCCTCTTCCCAGAGAAAAAGATACACAAAAATACACAAAGAATCTTGTTAGCAAAACTGTTTGCTCAGCAATCACCTGCTCAGTTGGTAGCTAAGGGGAAAAAAGGGAAAGTGTCAAGTAAAAAATGCTTTGAATGAAGTAATTATTTATTTCTGAACTATTGGATGTCATAGATTCCTGCCAAGTATTTGTTTGCAGATGGTTTTAATTTAAATGCAGGTCTCGTATTACCTATGGAATGGTGTATAAATAGAAAGCTGTCAACAGTAACAATCAACCTCTCAGTGCTGGTAAGATGAGAAGAGTTTTCAGGCTCTAGTTATTAGATGGGGAATTTCTTGGGTTTCTGGCAGTATGTAAGAAACTTCCTTTTCAAAGGCTGCTGAACAAGTTGATCTGTTTAGACATAGGAAGCAAGAGTCCTGACCACTTCTGAGATGACATCAAGCCAGACAGTCCCTTTAAGACCTGTGGAAGTTTAAGAAGTTTGGAGCTGCTGGAGGAAATCCAGAGGAGGCCACAGAGATGATGGGAGGGCTGGAGCAGCTCTGCTCTGGAGCCAGGCTGGGAGAGTTGGGGTGTTCAGCCTGGAGAAGAGAAGGCTCCAGGGAGACCTTAGAGCAGCTTCCAGTGCCTGAAGGGGCTCCAGGAAAGCTGGGGAGGGGCTTGGGACAAGGGCAAGGAGGGATGGGATGAGGGGAAAACAATTGAAAGCCAGAAGAGGGAAGATTGAGATAAGATCCGAGGAAGAAATTCTTTGGTGTGAGGGTGGTGAGACCCTGTCCCAGGCTGCCCAGAGAAGCTGTGGCTGCCCCATCCCTGGCAGTGTTGAAGGGCAGGTTGGATGGGGCTTGGAGCAACCTGGTCTGGTGGGAGGTGTCCCTGCCCATGCAGGGGGGTTGGCTGCCTTTCATTCAAAAGAAGTAGTTGGTTCTGCAGTTGGCTGGGTCTGTGCTGCATCTTTCTCATGTGGAAGAAAAAAAACATAAAGAAAAAAGATGGGTCAAATTACTTTTGAGAAAGGAATCAAAGATTTTCCACCTCCCCACCTCCACAACCCCGAATGTCCTTACACGTCCCTCATTTCCCCGGCGATTTTGGTGTCACAGCCTTTGAAAAATAAACTCCACACACCCCCAAAAAACACTGCTGAGGCAGCTGACTTCTTCTGTCACACCCTTCCTCTGGGCACTGATGTCTTCTAACTTCCAGAAAATTGCTTTCCCCTCTTGGTGTATCCCCTGCCCTTTCACTGCTCACACATCTTCTATTTTGGCTCTTCCCACCTTCTCAGCTTTTCTTTAAATACCCCTGAACCCTCTCAACCAGAATAAAATTGGGAAATAAAGGAGGAGCTGGTTTCTCCACCACGTCTGCAGGCTGTGTGTGCTGCTCTGATGTGGAGCTGGACTTTGCCCCATGATCACCAAGCCTAAAACCAGATCTCCCGGGGCTTGTTTGGTGTCAGTTGGTGTCCCTCAGATGGACTCAAAGACCTTCTGTTTGCCTTGGCTTGGCAGGCAGAGCATTGGTTGGGTGTTGGCACCACCTAACCCAAGGTGTGAAAATGAGAGAGAAGTGCCAACCAATAGTGCAGGTGGTGGAGGTGTGGATTTGCCTGCCACTGAGCTGCTGGGGTCCTTGTGCAGCAGAAGGTGCTGTTTGTGTGTGTGGATTGAGTATCTGGTGCAGGCTGGGCAGGGCTTTTTTCCAAAGGGGATGAGGGAATATGTCAGCCTCATCCCTTCAGATCAGGACCTTGCAGGGGCTGGAGAGGGATGGGTGGGGGATGGGACCTTTTCCTCCAGCAGGTGCCTGTGCCTCTAACAGCAGGTTTTCCCCTGCATCCCTGGCCACACTTCTCACCGTGGAGCTGCCAGCTCTGGTGTGAACCAAATCCCTTGGCCAGTCATAGAATCATAGCATCCCAGACTGGTAGTTTGGGTTGGAGGGACCTTAAAGATCATCCAGTCCCAACCCCCATGCACAGGCAGGGACACCTCCCACCAGCCCAGGTTGCTCCAAGCCCCATCCAACCTGCCCTTCAACACTGCCAGGGATGGGGCAGCCACAGCTTCCCTGGGCAACCTGGGCCAGGGTCTCACCACCCTCACAGCAAAGAATTTCTTCCTCATGTCTGACCTAAATCTCCCCTCTTCCAGTTTAAAGCAATTTCCCCTTGTCCTCTTGCTACATGCCCTGGTCAGAAGTCCCTCCCCAGCTTTCTTGTCAGCCCCCAGTCCTTGTCACCATCCCTCTTTTTCAGATCCCATAAATACGCCGTGTCACCCCCAGCCCTCCTCCTTGCCAGGAGCAGAGGTCAGAGCGTGGAAAGTATCTCTTTGTCCAAACAGAGCACCCAGGACCTGGTGCAGATGATCAGATATGAATTGCTGGACATATTTGTAAGTAAAAAAAAGAAGAAATGTCCTTTTTTGTCCTTTTTTTGCCTGCAGTCATTTGCAGAAGCGCTGATGACGACGTGGAGCCATGCAAAAGAAATGTGGTTGCTCAGTATTTCTCTCATGCTGAGTTACATTTGTTTTGAAATTTTATGGCTTGGATCAGAGAGTCTGGACAGAAATCTCTTTGCTGTGTCATCCCGTGGGAGGAGACCCTAGGAGTCAATGATCTGGCTTTGTTGGTGGTCACAGACCCACTGCTGGGGTGGCTTGGTCTCTGGCAGGGTCTGCTCCCTGCCTCTTGCACGTGTCTGTCAAGGATGGGTTGTAGCCAGAAAATGAGGAGCTGGGATGAGCTGGTCTTGCTTCTGCCTCCTCTGCTCCCACCCTTCATCTCAGAGCACACAGCTGCTCATTCAGACTTGGCTTGCAGTGGGCAGGGTTGGGCGTAGACATCTCCAACCTCCACCAAGATCCCAGCACCCACACTTGTTTTTGAGCTGCTTGCGTTCAACATGGACACTCCAAATTTCCTGTAAGGACAGAAAGTCTAATTTTGTCCTCTTCTCTCTTCCCCATAAACCCCAACTTCTTGTTTTGATGTCTTGCAGCCCGAAATCACCGTGCAAAATCTGCCCCACTACTTGCAGCTCAGAAAGCCTTTCCTCATCTTCTTCAGCGATGGTGACATCGATCAGATGGAAAGCAAGGAAATGCTGAACCTGGCAGAAAAAACACCCCACCAAGCATTTGTGGCTTGCTGGTTGAACTTGTAAGTGTTTAAAAAGCTCTTTTCTTCTTTCCGTTAGCTCCTTCTTAGCACTGCAGGGCAAGAAAACACTTGAGTCTGCACTTACTGAAAACACTCCCTGGCTGGTGTGATTGTTTGGTCTGAAGACTTCATGAGTTGGGAGGTCAAGTCTTTTAGCAATGATTGAATATCTGTTGTGGGCAGCTGCAAAACTGCACGACCAAGTAAAATTAGCAAGGGTTTAATTGATTACAGAAATTATTTTCAGTAGAGTAAAATGTTCTCAGAGATATTGCACAGTAGCTTGACCCTGGCTCTGGTGTTATTTGTGGTTTTGAACAAGAGGCAATGGTCACAAGCTGGTCCACAGGAGGTTTAACCTAAATAGAAGAAAATACTTCTTCATTCTGAGGGTAACAGAGCCTAGGACAGGCTACCCAGGGAGGCTGTGGAGTCTCCATCCCTGGAGACATTCCAACCCACCTGGACGTGTTCCTGTGGGATCTGCTCTAGGGGATCCTGCTCTAGCAGGGGGGTTGGACTGGATGATCTCCAGAGGTCCCTTCCAACCCTGAACATTCTGTGTTTCTGTGGTTCTTTGACATGTAGGAGGAAATAAGTAAACTTGCCTTCCTGGAGTGTCTTATGGTAATTTTTCCATCAGCAGTTAGAGGGAAGCACTGATTGTTGACTGGGAGAAATGAAGTTTTCAGAAGAAGGAAGAGCCAGAAAAAGCCCCATGAAGCTTAAAAATAGGAAAACCCAACCAGGAATGAATCCAGGAGCTAAGAAATAGAAAGTTGTAAGAAAGGGGATTTTTTTTTTGTAAATCCTGCCCTCCCTGGTCACATTTCCAATTTTTAGCCTCTGTTTGTTTTGCCCCAGCCCAGAGCCACCTCTCTGTTCTTAATCATAACCTGCTTGGAAGTCTAGGAAGTGCCTCCAGTGTGGGCTGCAGTTCAGCTAACAGGGAAGGCACATGTTTTCAGAGAGAGGGCAGGTTTGTTTGCCAGTAATGCCCAAGAAACAAGAGCCCCTGGAACTTCCCCACCTACACATCTGCCTTCATGAGAAAGAGCGAGCTGACCTGTGGCAGATCAAAAGGGCATGGCCTCAAAAGAGGGCCTGCAGCAGCAGAGCAAGGGGTGGTGGTTTTAATTTAGAAGAGGGTAGGTTCAGATTATATCTAAGGAAGAAATTTTTTATGCTGAGGGTGGTGAGACTTTAGGTCAGGTTGCCCAGAGAGGTGGGAAATGCCCCATCCCTGGAAACATTCCAGATCACATCAGGTGGGGCTCTGAGCAACCTGATCTGGTTGAAGATGTCCCTGCTCACTGCAGGGGGCTGGATGAGATGGCCTTTCAAGGTCCCTTCCAACCCAAAGCAGTCAGTGATTTGATGAATATGGCCATTGGCTCAGAAAGAGTAGCCTAGCTGTAGAAAGGGGACCTCATTGCCATGGTGAGAGCCAGCTCAGCCCTCCGGCGTCAGTCCCAGCCTGAAATAGTGCTGGAAGGGCTCAGCATCTTCATGGGCTTGCTGATCCTCTGTCTCAATGTCCTCTTTTGGCTCCCTCTGTGTTGCCTGGGGAAATTCCATCCCAGCTCCTCAGGCTGTGGGGTAGCACATGGTAGCTCCAGAAGGGCTGGGCCCCCTGAGCACAGCCCCTAGATCAGCTCCAGCCTCTCCAGCCCCTGCGGACTTGCTGCAGCTGTGGGGTGGTGGCAGAGGCTGGGTTGGGAGGAGCTCTCCTACAACAGGGGCTGCAAGACTTGTCCTGCTCCTCAGAATCACAGAATCACCTTGGTTGGAAAAGATCTTAAAGATCACTGAGTCTAACTGTCACACTAACACTGGCAGGTCCTTCATTAAACCATGTCCTTGAGTACTACATCTATATGACTCTTAAATGCCTTCAGGATGGTGACTCCACCACTGCCCTGGGTGTCTCACGTTTTCTTAAAAACTCACAGAATCACAGAATGTTAGAGGTTGGAAGGGACCTCCAAAGATCATCAAGTCCAACCCTGGTGGAGAACATTTCACAGCCTCCTACAGAGTTTGTCCCAGCTCCTTCTGCTCAAGGATTTCTTTCCACATCTAAACTGCTGCCCACTCCCTTTCCATGGAACTCCAACAGCTCATTTAAAACATCAAGTTTATAAATATTGTGGCAAGCTTCTACAACTGTCCCATGGGCAAACCTTAGATGTGGCCCAAGGGCTTTGGTTGTTTGCTCAGCTCTTGGTCCTCTTGTGCTGCCAGACCACTGGGGAGCAAGTTGAATTTCCTCTTCCCCACAGGAAGAAGACGCCGGTGGGACGCGGGGTCCTGAAGTCGTATTTTGCCACCGTGCCTGCACTGCCTCTTCTTGTCTGGGTGGACCTTCATGCCGGGGGTCAAGTATTCAGGTTCCCATCAGAGCAGACCCTCACTGAAACAAACATCTTGTCTTGGCTGGAGAAGCTGAAAGCAGGACTGGAGATTCCCAGCAGTAAGTGGACAGGCATTTGAAATGTTCCTCAGCAGGCCCTGTTAGCTCCGCTCTGTTTATGAGAAGATGCTACGGGCAATAAATTGTCTGTCCTGGAATTTAATGATGGAAAAACTAGCTATGCTCATTTGAGCTGGAGAAGTACAAATAGTCCAGCCAGCAGAGAATACCCACACTCACGGGTTTGCTTTGGGACTGTTTAATGTTCAGAACCAAGTGTGGGTCGTTGGGAATCGACATCTCTTCCCCAGACCTGGCTGTGCTGCCTGGTTGCTGGGAGCACAGCTTGCTAAGAAAAAAATCTCCTGACTCCCAGTTGTCAGCATAAGAAATAGCTGCTCTTTAGGTGCCTTTCAGTATTTATTATTTAGGTTTTCCTTGGGTGGGAGTGGATGAGGAAGCTGGTGCTTTGCTGTGGTCTTTAGGACAGAAGGAGTTGGCTTGTACCGTGAAGGTTTTCACTCCATCCCTCCTGCTTTGACCAGCCCAATGAAGCCTTGGAGGAAGGCAGCAGAGATGTGCCTGTTCCATGTTTTATGCATAGTCATAGGTGCTACATCTTGGGAATTTCTGGCTGCCAGCCTGCTCCAGGCTCCAGAAAGGCGAGGGGGTGACTCCAGTTGATCTTTGTGCATTTTAAAATGAGCTTTTCAAAGCCATTGTTTGCAAAAGTCTGGTGGGGGAGGATCTGTAGCCTCTCTGCAGAGCTGAGGACACCATTTCTGACCCAACCGTCGCTGGGAGAACCCCATGAGCCAGCTGTCCCCCCACACCTCTTTCCAACCCCACTGCTAGTGGCACCTGGCTGTCATACAGGTCTCTAGGTGGGGACCTTAGTTTTCAGGGATGTCAGAGGGGTGTGTTGATGGCTGAGCAGCTCACTGCACGGCCAAGGGCTCTGCCAGCCATCACAGCCTCCTTCCTCAGACTTTTAATTTTGCCTTCACTGGAAAAAAAAAAAAAAGCCACAGTTCCTTTGAAAAGGAAACGTCTGTGGAGTGGGGCTGCTTAACTTATAGCTTGTAACTTATTAAGGTGGGGCTGTGTTTGTTTCTCAGGTACCTTGTCTGAGGAAGACTGGAAACCACCTCTCCCTGCCTATGACTTCCTGCAGATGATGGACATGACCATGGCTGAGCTCCCCCTCCACACCTCCCACCCTCACGGGGACACGCCGGCACAGCGCCCGCTGGGAAGCCCAGGAGGGGACAATGCCATCCAGGAGGAGCCATCCCAGGACAACAAAGCAGAGAAAGTTGGGTCCCCTGGGAGGGACCTTCGGGGGACAGCCCCAAGGCTGGCAGCAAAAGAGAAGCAGGGCAAGAGACACAGTGAGCTGTGAGAGCTGGGCAGTGGAAGATGCAGGATGGTGGCCAGAAAACCTGATCGCTTTCCCACCCCTCAGTGAGCCTTGACACCAAGGAGAGGAGTCCTTTCAGCTCTGAATTCATAGTGAAGGGATAAAGGAGCCCCTAAGACTCAGTGTGAGTTCCCTGCTGCTTCCTGTGGGTCATTCTGTGGTGGCCGTGGTTTCTGATGCCAGAAATGTGCCCATACACCCCACACCTTGGCCCTCCCGGATGCTTTTGGGGTTGCATTTCACAGCCAGCAGCCAGAGCAGGTCTGTGGCGAGGCTGCTGCAAGGGAGCTCAGCTCACCTCAAAGCTGGGGGAGAGATGGAGGCTGCTGCAAGGGAACTCGGCTCACCCCACCTTCAAACTACTCTGGAAACAGTCGTGTCAGCACAGCCCTGCTCTGCAGTTTCTGTATTTCTCACACAGGCATTTCTGTTGTCCCCAGGCAGGAAGGGGTGAGTGATTTCAAGATAAAGAGCACGTTTCTCCTCTCCCCTCCCAGGTCACAGTAACAGGTCCCTTGATGTGTGTCAGGAAGCCCTGCTCTCAAAAAGAAATTGCATCTGTGCTGTAACCATGTGGAGCTGGGAGGGAAAATGTGCCTCCTGCTCCAGGGCTGCTTAAACTGGCACTTGTGTGTGTTTACACCTGGCCTGTGAACCGAATTCATGAGCATGTTCATCCTTGAGGGTAACAGGAGGATCTGGTTTTATTACGAGGGGCAGAGCTCAGGTCATCACAACAGCCATGAATAGCTGGGACAAAAATCTGCCAGCAAATCCCAAGAGCAGGCAGGTTGGGAGATGGTTTTGCTCAGTGCTGGCATTTTCTTGGTTACAAGCCCAGGGGGTTATTTGCAGCCTCGATTTTTCTTTCCTCTCAGTGACAGAAACTGAGGTTGGTGCTTTTTCTGGGATGGGGATGGGGCTGGGAGTGAGGTCTGCAGAGAGAGCAGGGCTTTGGAAATGAGGGGAGATGAAGGGAATGGACCCTTCTGAGGTGGGATGGATTTGCTTCACATCCATATCTAGGTGGGGAGAAGCAGGACCTGGGGAACTGGCTTTCCAGCCTCTGCCCATCTCCTGGGCACATCAAAATGTCTGTCTTTCCTTGCTGGAGGACCTGAGCCTGCTGGCCAGCATGAGATATGACCCATTTGTGTGGAGGGAAGTTTAGTCTAATCCCACCCATGCCGTTACAATCTTCCCACCTCTTTCAATAAACATCTGCTCCCTTCCCCAGCATCCAGATGTGCTGGCAGGGTCGGGTCCTCCTCCTTATGGCTTTGAAGTTACTGGGGAGGGGGAAAATTGATGTTAAGGAACTACTGAGAGCATTGGGAAGTCTGGATTTCTCATCCTGCAAGCAGCCCACATGGTTGGGAGTATTGTGAAATGCCCAGAAATAGACCATTAATCCTGGGCTCTCCTTGAAGCCCTTAATTGAAACAGACCATTTTGGGACTTAATGACAGGCTTAGAGCCAAACGTGTGTATTTAAAGTAAGAAACTGTTGCAAGCAGATGGGAGCCTGCTGTGCAGCCCTGTTCCCAAGGGGAGGGAGTGAACACATCCCCAGTCACTTCCCCTCATTCCTCTGCTAGATAAGGTTGTTCTGCTGCTGGGCTCTAGGAGCTGGACCTCACTCCTTTCCCAACATGTCCCTCCTGATGCCACTGCTGCTGTTGTGGGATTGCTCTCCTGCTTTGGTCCAGGTGAAGTGTGAGATTTGGGCTTGTTGATGTCTTAATTAAATTCTAGCTCAAGTGCAGCCAATTTGCATCTGCCTTGGGCTGGTGTCCTGGGCTGGGGTGGCCGGAATGGATGCACTCCTGCAGGAATGTTCCCCTGGGCTCTGCAGCAGAAGGATCCCTTCCTGCAGCAGGTTTGAGGAGCATTCCCACATCCTTGCTCCTCTCAGTCGTTCATCCTTTTTTCATCACAGCCCATTGATGCTCAGCACCGGGGCAGGAGCTTGTCACTAGGGGTCAGTGCCACATCTCAGTTCTGGCTGCAAAAATCGGCTGCTTCAGTGGAGGTTGGAGCATTGTTGCCACCAAAGCCCAGGAGGTGGTAGATCCCCCATCCCTGGAAACATTCCAGGCTAGGTTGGACAGGGCTCTGAGTGGTCTGATCTGATTGAAGATGTTCATGCTCAGTGCAGGGGGGTTGGACTTTATGTGACCTTTAAATGTCCCTTCCAAACCCAACCATACTGTGATTCTAAGCCATGAGGGGGGGTCAGGAGTGAGTATCCAGTGGGATCCTGCAGGGATGATGCTGGTGGCCAAGTGGCTGTTTGCTTCTGGGGATAAACCTGGGAGGGGTGGGGAGTCCCAGCTCTACAGACTTCAGCCCCACATCAACAGCAGGATCCATCAGCTTGAGCCTCCCAGCTGGAGCTTGGGATGCCAGGAGCCCCAAACCCAGCCCAGAGGGTCGCTGGGAGCATTGTTGCCACCAAAGCCCAGGAGGTAGTAGATCCCCCATCCCTGGAAACATTCCAGGCTAGGTTGGACAGGGCTCTGAGTGGTCTGATCTGATTGAAGATGTTCATGCTCAGTGCAGGGGGGTTGGACTTTATGTGACCTTTAAATGTCCCTTCCAAACCCAACCATACTGTGATTCTAAGCCATGAGGGGGGGTCAGGAGTGAGTATCCAGTGGGATCCTGCAGGGATGATGCTGGTGGCCAAGTGGCTGTTTGCTTCTGGGGATAAACCTGGGAGGGGTGGGGAGTCCCAGCTCTACAGACTTCAGCCCCACATCAACAGCAGGATCCATCAGCTTGAGCCTCCCAGCTGGAGCTTGGGATGCCAGGAGCCCCAAACCCAGCCCAGAGGGTCCCTGCCAGCTGCCAGTGCAGGAACCTGCAGTGACACGGGGAAGGGACATGCTTGTCCTGGTGGACAGGAGGATGACCATGAGCCAGCAATGTGGTCTGCATCCCCCAGCATAGTCATTCACTGGGGGAAAGGCTTGTGCTTGTCCTAAGTATGAACACAGGATGGGTGGAGAATGGATGGACTGAGAGCAGCCCTGAGGAGAAGGACTTGGGAGTGTTGGGTTTCCTCGACACGAGGCAGAACTATGCACTGGCAGCCCAGAGACCACCCGTGTCCTGGGCTGCATCCCCAGCAGCGTGGGCAGCAGGGCCAGGGAGGGGATTGTCCCCTCTGCTCTGCTCTGTTGAGACCCCCTGCAGGGCTGGGGCCAGGGCTGGGGTCCCCAGCACAAGAAGGACATGGAGCTGCTGGAGAGAGTCCAGAGGAGGCCACAGAGATGATCCCAGGGCTGGAGCAGCTCTGCTCTGGAGCCAGGCTGGGAGAGTTGGGGTGTTCAGCCTGGAGAAGAGAAGGCTCCAGGGAGACCTTAGAGCACCTTCCAGTGCCTGAAGGGGTTCTAGGAAAGCTGGGGAGGGGCTTGGGACAAGGGCAGGGAGGGATGGGACAAGGGAGAATGGCTTTAAACTGAAAAAGGAGAGATTTAGATGGGATCTGAGGAGGAAATTCTTTGGTGTGAGGGTGGTGAGACCCTGGCCCAGGTTGCCCAGAGAAGCTGTGGCTGCCCCATCCCTGGCAGTGTTGAAGGGCAGGTTGGATGGGGCCTGGAGCAACCTGGGCTGGTGGGAGGTGTCCCTGCCCATGCAGAGGGTTGGGACTGGATGAACTTTAAGGTCCTTCCAACCCAAACCAGTCTGGGATTGAATGACTCCATGAAACACTCCTGCACGAGGTTGTTTGTCACAGCTGTGGCTCTGGGGACAGACCAGAGCAGAAAGATTTGGTGGGTGTTTATGGCCTTGAGGAACGAGTCAAAGGAAGAAGGGCTGTGGACCTTGGGGACAGCTTCAAGGGATGGAGCACATCCTGCTTGGCTTGAGGAGCAGGATGCTGGCCTGCACGTCCCGAAGTGGAAGTTGGCCAGGGATGGCCTAGGGGCTGGGTCTGTATCTGCCACTCTTCTGTGTCTCAGCACAATCTGCTGCTGAACTCAGGCAAGTTCACAATCCACGCTGATGCTCACAGCTCCTTTTCCAACCATTTAACACCCAAATACATGTTTGTTTGAGTAAACCACAGCTCTGCCTCTCCAGATGACACGCTGAGATGAAGAACTGATAGATTTCCTGACCGATACAATATGTGGACTATTTGTGGCTTCAGCCCAAACTCTATTTTTGGTGGGACTTTATTTCAGCATCACACCCATGATGGACCTTTCCTTGCGCTTTGCGCATCCTGGGAGCCTTTCAGGGGGTGTTTAAATGTCAGTGGTTGATAAAATGATGACACATCCACAAAAAAAAAAAAAAAAAAAAGGATGATGTGCTTGTCCTGGAGAGCAAAAATCATTGAAATTATTGTCTGGAACAATAGGAGTGCTCCATGTGCTGTGGTCTGACTGGCCCTTTGCCATCCTCGAGTCCTGCAGAGCCATCGTCATCGGTCAGGAGGGAGGACGGTTTGCAGCAGTGTGGGGGAACATGAAGGTTGCACCATGTGCCTTCTGTGTTTAAGGAGCTTATAGAGGAGTGGTCACATCAGGAAGCAACCTCAACGTTTTTCAGCCCTTTGAGCAAAACAAGGATGGGGAAAAAGACAAGTCCTGGCAGTGGAAGGTGGGTTTTCCATGTCAGATGTTCTGAGCCCATCCTGAACCACCCGGTCAGCCTGGCTCCGTGGCCAGGCTCTCATCCAGCTCTGCCATAGGGATGCAGCTGCAGGATGGTGGAAGAGAAGGCTGGAGCAGGGAGGAGACAGGAGAGGACATTGTCCCCAGGAGGGAGATGCTGCAAAGCAGGAGCAGGGGCACGGGAAGGACACATCTGCCTGGGCAGCAGCTGCCGCGCCAGCGATTCCTGCCAGTGCTGCCAGGATGTGGAGCAGGACACAGACCTGCTGGGCTGGCTCCTGTCCCTTGGGATTGTTGGTGCCTGGTGCTGCGTGGGGACAGGGGGTCTGGCAGGGCTGGGGGATGGTGGGGACC